TATTTTGTTGACATTCATTGTGGGGTGGGATTGTGGATGGCACCATAGATTTGGAACCGCCTCCCCATTTCCCTGATTCTAGATATGCCACTGATTTTATATACGCATTTACACTAAACAGGAAATATTTTCTATACAGATATACCCTCAGCGCATTTATTTTTGTTCTTAATCATTTTGAAAATCATGTTTAAGAATTTAAATTGCAGAAAAAAAAATTAATATTGAGAGCTAATTAAGTCTCCCCGGTAGCATCCCTTTCAGTAACAGTAACGGCAATATTTACTGCTGACCAGTTTGTTAGGGCACCTCTTGGTTTAGTTAGCGACCCAGCGCCTTACTCAACGCGCCCGCACGGCTCTATATCTGATTAAAGTAGACCAAAGGTCATTCTATTTGGGAAATAATATGCGGTTATTTTTATAATAATAATAATTTTATAAAAAAAAACAACAACAATAATTAGACACGAAAGAAACGTCGTTTTGTCATATACTCCGCTTTTATTTTCAGGTCAGTTCTTGTAAAGCAAACGCTAAATTCGTGGTTTATATAAACGTTTTCATTTGCTCGAAGTAGGCATCATCACAGATGATTATCCAGACCTAATTAAAATGCTAATTGGTAAATAGCATCTTCTACTTACTGGGTTAACTCTTCAATTATGTAATGTCCGAGAATAAATTATAAACCAGCCATTTTGCCGGAATTTATATATGAACTGGTTCAGCTTATCTAATAAAATTGTGACTTGTTGTTAATAAATAAATAGTATACTATAATATAAATATACAAGTGTTATATACAAGTGGACATTGGCTTTCGCCTCATGATTTAGTATCGACCATCTTACATTTTTATTCCTGTGAGTGGTTATGTAGGTAGGGGTCCCAGTGCACTGCTTTGTCCTTGTGTTTGAATATAGGGGCGGGGGTCTATAGTGCTTCCACAACCCTAGTTCACACACATCCAGTAATTTCCAAAGTATGTAAGACTAAAAGCTAAGATATTCAGAGGAACGGGGAGAGACCTCGAAAAATTGACTTAATTGACGTAATTTGTTGGTCCATAAACCTAATGTTTATCTAATTCGAGAGATTAAATTATGTTGTAGCCAAGTTTGTAACACTTCAACGAGATGTTTTTAATTATTAAATTATGACATTAATTAACTCCAAGCTATAGAGATGGGCTGTGGACAAACCTATCCAGATTAAAGTTATTTTAAACAAGCACCGCCACCACCACTGACGGTGTTGCTGATTTCAGCTTTATTGGGGTCGTTTATATATACTCTTCAAAAAAGTAAGGGATATTGACATTCAAATACCTATGCAGGTTGTGATATGATAAATAGTCATGGACACTTAACATGCTTTGAGAGTATGCTCACAGATGAAGAACTTATCGCACCAACAGAACCACCGAGCTGCATGTGCGACACGCAATAGCGCCATACACGTGGGAGAGGTTCATTGTCAAATTTGACACTTCAAGGAAGGGTTGATGAAAACTGCCGTTTGCTGGTTTATCCTATCCGTGTTTGCTTTCCTATCGGTTCTTGCATAAGATTTACTGTTTAGCGTATCTTTGCTTTAGTGTGTTACGTTTAATTTGATCGGGAGACGTGTTCGTCGACGTCAACATCAACCGACAACACTGCAAGAGGAGTGGGTCAGATTGCCCCAAATCGTGATTGGACGGTTGATTAGGAGCATGCCACGATGCATGGGCGCAGATCCCGGTGGGGACACTGGGACGCGTCCCCACCAATAATGTGTTATAATGTATGAACAATACGTTAAAATCCATTCCATTCTGTATAATTTTACCAAAATGGCGGGAAGTGAGAATATTGTAAACAGGCATAAAATATGTGCGCAAACCGTGAACTCACAGCTTAAATTTATACCTATCTATACATATCCATAATATATAGGGTTTGGCTAAATTGCAGATTTTCATATATTACGATTCCATTGATAATATAGGCTGTATACGGATACCGCATTATGGTACATTGATATATGTATCAATGTAAAGAAAATTGATATAGTGAAGTATACAGTCTTCACAATCTCGTTTCTATACACTTATCGTCTGCTATATTTCTGCTTATCGTCTGCTTTATTGTTAGTTTGATTTTTTCACCATCACGCAGTGTTAGATTTGTTCGATAGTGAAGTTGGTAGGTTAGCAGGCTTCGTTTTGTTTTGATATTAACCCGATTACCTCTTTCAAAATATTTATTATTTTCGAATTTAAAAAAAAGAATAATAATGTGAGATAATCAACGTTCTATGGCATTACAAGTCTGTTCGGAAATAGGAAATCCGCGTTAGTCATATTAAAAACCGTATATCTCTAATCTTTGGAACCTTAAAATATAGGCGAAAATGGGCCTAACAGTAATATGGGTGTATATAAATGGTTTAAATTCAATTTTTATTGTAACTTCTAATCAATTATGTTCAGTGAAATACACGAAGAATGCAAACTGAACGACAATTGGTTGAGTTTGTTTAGTACATTCTAGGATCACATATTTTACAGTAAGATAACAAGATCAATATTGATCAAAATGGACCAATATTTAATTCTAATTCATGTTTTTAATTTCGAATATTATGGATTATATCGAGCTAGTCCCGAAATGACCTCTTGTGAAGACGTGTTTCTCAGTTTTGCTGGAGTCTTTGGATTGTCGCCATTCCGCCGTCGTCAATATTCGTCATTCGATAATTTAAAAGTCAATTAAAGTGTTACCGCAATGTTAATGTGTGATAAAGTTTACAGCCTATTCATAGATCCTGGTTGTAGGCTAAATATGTATATAGACCTTATGCTACTTATCTGATTAGGCGTATTAAGTTGATAGAAAAGTAGTCCGTTAAAAACACCATTTCATTTATTAACCCTTGCGCATATACAAGGGGCATTTCTGGACCCCACGACCATATCCTTAACATTTGTGAGGAACTCGTTCATAATTGTCTAGTGAGAACGTTATAATATTGCAAATAGAACGGACGTGAGGCAGTGCCAACATTCACTGTTTGACAAGAAACTAAGAGTATTATCGGAAACAAGGGGGCTTGTGCCCCCACCCCCTCCTTTAAACATTTTGCTGGTTACAAGTGTGTAATCTGTTCTGCGCTTGGCGCTAGCTTTGTATTTGGAATCTTTCTTACTGATGATATTGTGTTCGTCATTCTAGTAATCTAGACCTGAAAGCAAATCTAGATACTCTGCCAACCCCATTAAGTTATTCGAATTATATATAGATTTGTATGGTTTCAAAAATATCTTATAATTCATGTCGTCACTGTTAAGGTCAGTTTAGAGGAGTAGAAAAAATATGATGATTAAAGTCTCTGAACTTCATTTGAGGGAAGGGGGTGGATGGCCGGATGGTTAGTGGGTGCGCGTTGTATCATAAGGCCTGTCATTGAGTCAACTGGCTTGGTTTCGATTCCCCGGTTGTACGTGACAAGGAGCAGGGTCGCCTGTCCAACCTTGTGCAGTGTTTTCTCCGAGTCCTTCGGTTTCCTCCCACTGCTAAAGATCCCTACGCACAAGCTAATTATTGAAATAAAATTGAACCATATGTTAGTCCCGAAATGACCTGGTTTGTGTCGAGTGGACGTTACCTCTCTCTCTCACTCTCTCTCTCTCTCTCATTTGGGAAGGGGGGGGGGGTGATACATCTCATCACAATGTTGCGAAATTGATCTCTGAAAGCACTACTAGTCAAAATAATGTTTAAATTCCGTTCAGTATTTACAAACATGATTCATGAATTAAAAATTTGTCAACATTCGGAAATAACAATAGGATACCCTAACGGTACCTAATCTTTGTCAAAATCTTTTGATGAGCCTCTTTTTAATCCGACTGAATCTAAGCATGGATTAATTAATCCGTGGCAATTGTAAGATTTTCTGAAAATGTTTTGATACAGATGATAGACAGCAGAGGTACCGCACAACACAATACAAACAAAAGAAATGATACCAAGCAGAACACGCCCAATATTATTTATGTTTAATATTCCACAGATCGAGATTTAATCTACCAGAGCAGGGCCTATGCCTACAAGGAACTCCGAAAAATTACCCATAAAATTGAACCATATGTTAGTCCCGAAATGACCTGGTTTGTGTCGAGTGGACGTTACCTCTCTCTCTCACTCTCTCTCTCTCTCTCTCATTTGGGAAGGGGGGGGGGGGGTGATACATCTCATCACAATGTTGCGAAATTGATCTCTGAAAGCATTACTAGTCAAAATAATGTTTAAATTCCGTTCAGTATTTACAAACATGATTCATGAATTAAAAATTTGTCAACATTCGGAAATAACAATAGGATACCCTAACGGTACCTAATCTTTGTCAAAATCTTTTGATGAGCCTCTTTTTAATCCGACTGAATCTAAGCGTGGATTAATTAATCCGTGGCAATTGTAAGATTTTCTGAAAATGTTTTGATACAGATGATAGACAGCAGAGGTACCGCACAACACAATACAAACAAAAGAAATGATACCATGCAGAACACGCCCAATATTATTTATGTTTAATATTCCACAGATCGAGATTTAATCTACCAGAGCAGGGCCTATGCCTACAAGGAACTCCGAAAAATTACCCATATAGGATTATTTTAAAAAAAAAAAAAAATTATTAATAGCCCGTAGGCCTAGACCTTAAATTTCATGTTCGAATTATAAAAAAAAAATTCTATCAATCAGAAATTTGTTAAAGGATATAATTTTAGTGAAAAAATATTAAAAAGAGAAATATTACATCCGTATAGTCGGTATAGCGGGTCTTATATGTACAATTAACTTCCGAAAGCTCAAAATGACATCAACCCTTTAAAAGAGAAGACGGCTTAGCTTTAAAAAAGGCCATCTGGCATTTGATCTTCAGTGATAAATCCATTCTAGTGTGTCACAGCTCACACGATACAGTGAAGGCCTCCTCGCTGATTGTTGGCTGCTCATGAATATGCAACGTTCAGCCGTAATGACCTCGTTATCTGCCAAGCGAAGAAAGACCTTGTCTGGAAGAGTGGTCGATGATGAAACCAGCCTAATTTCTCTCTTAATAGAGTATTTCAACTAATTTTAATGGAATGAGAGGTTAGTATGTAATCTCGTCTTTAAATCGGTGTACTTTAGGTAGATGTTAGAGCGTACCTTTCGAGACAAACAACAAGAAACTTGACGGTGGGCAACTGCGTGTTCTCGCCGACTGAGACAAATATGGCCACCATTGATGACTGAACAGCCAACTATTGCTTCCTCGTTCTTTGTCCCTGATGTGTATAGCAATCCCTACTTGTTTTTTCTTTATTAGTGGTGCCGATATATTGGCAGACATTTAGCGTGTTTAGGACATGAAAGCTATTTGTAGTGATTCATTGCACGAAGACGAAAGCAGTCGATACCTTGACAAAAACCAAGTCATCATACGACTTCAGCAAGGTGATCTATTAATAGTACAACCATTATCAATGACGGACGCCAAGTGGATAGTGGTTAAGAGTTAGGTATACATACAGCGTGTAGTTTATTTAGCTTATATGTGTAGCCTTGATATATATTGCACATTGTAGACAAACTGAAATTGATTAGATTGGATAGGATGCCAAATAGTTTTATATTATAGAATCTATGAACAGTTTGTCAGAAAAAAAATTAGGTTTGCCATTTACTCTATTCCTACTCTATGTAGGCTATGGAAAAAAAGTGTAAAGAGTTCCCTTTTCAGAAACTAGGACCAACTATAATTAAATTAAGTGACCAAAAACTAAAGATAATACCGTAGGCTATTATTCATTTTGATCAATGAAATTAAAGCAAATGAAATAGGGTTTAACGTCCTACTTTTCTACACCAACCAGGCTAATACAGACAGGTGTTGGCTATGCCATGCAGTGTGCTAGAAGTAGAAGTGACATTTTGCCTGGTCACCATCGTTACGGCCTACCGGATGGCTACTCGTATTTCAAATTCCAACTGTAGGCCTACATGAGACCTAAGTTTTTCATCCCATCCAAATAACTAAATGCTGTTTCTTGCTCCCACCATACGGCACAAAATGGGTATGCACGCTTGGTAATCCTGGGGAATTTTCTCTGTCAACCGTGAAGCATAACGGGAACATTGAAAACCCCAGACCATAGCCCTCACTCGCAATGATAATGTTTGTAAAAAAATGTGAATCTGGATCGTCGCAATATAAGAAAGTTTGGACTTTTTTAACAACTAGTTAGGCTACTGGTAGGGCCTACTGGTATTTGACCATTATGCCTCGACGTCTTCAGAATTCATTAAATTGAATGAAAATATAATAGGGCATATATGGGGTAAAATATTAAGACAATGGGGTGCTATATGATACAAATGTTTATCTCCAAGAAAAACCTGTGGTGAGTATTGGATCACTTAGAAAATCAATTTTTCTTCGTTTTTAGTTATTCTCATATCATTACAGAATGAATATTGCAGTATATTGACCTTAAGTAAAAATGATGCCTTTTGTCTAAAAAATATTCTTTGAAAACTACATCTGTCAAACTCAGAAAATACATATTTAGTGCATAAATATCTGTGATTAATAAACTCCATATCTTGTTAAACCCTTTTACTGTCAGACGTTCCATATGGCACGTTGCAGGAGGCTATTTTTCAGGTCATGAGCTATAAATGAAAATGACAAAAAATGTTAAATATTTTATACCAAATAGAGAAATTGAAGATCTTTCCAAAAACATATACATTTGTATGATTTATTCTTATATTTAAAGAGTTACAGGATATATTCTTAACTATGTGCTTTTCCTAGTGGAAACCCCAAAACAATCCGACGGATAAAGGATTGTTTAATATATTCTTTAATTAAAGTCACTGATCATCTATTAAGAGATCTTGAATCCCTTGCCGACTACAAGTAAAATCATTCCAAAAATTTTGGTAATTTGAAAGATATGATCAATTAAAGATTTAGTAACTACTAACATACTGCAGATAATATAAAAAAAAGATACAGGCACCTATAAGTGTTTGATGGACCTCTTTACTCCGATTGAAGCTGGGAGATTGTCTGCCACTGATATTTTGGTATTGAATTACTGTCATCAATTTGAGTACATTTCAACGTGGATGTTAGGTCAAGAAAAATTAGATATTGTTTGAAAAAAAATGCAAATGCAAACCCTCCTAAATTCTTTACTTCAGCGATTTTTTCATTCATGTACCAGGCATTCGTTTTCGTAATTAATTTTGTTTTATGTCAATCATGCCATGAGTTTTAATCATTTATCTGTTTATAGCTAAATATTTTACATTAGTGCAATTTTTATTCAGCATTTCGTTAAGAGTTGGAAATGGGAAAACAAGAATATTTTCTAACAACATATCAATAATAACCGCAAAGCTGGCTCTGAATATTAAAGTATTTACTGATAGATGATTCAGAGATAATACATGTATTGAGTATTGTCTGAGACTAACTGCGAGATCACTACATGTGTATATTGATTAATCAGGTTTTTTTGTGTCTGTACATGACAGAGTTATAAAATTCCATTGTAAAACTGTGTAAGTCCAGTATAAGTTACAATCTTCTATCTTCCATGAATTACCGGTATATAAAATCCCATTGTAAAAATAAGACGGTATAATTCCAAACGTGCTTCATAGAGTAAGCCGCAGGCTCACTAACCAAGAGATCTCTGGCAAAGCTCACTGTTTACGCCTACCTTTATTAGCCCGGTTTATGCAGAAAAGTAGTACTTTAAATCCCATTTCATTCCCATTCGCTCCTTAAACCCAAAAAGGATGCTTCAACAAATAGCTTGGGAAACGGTTTTAAAATCGCAAGTTATTGTTCATCTTGATCATAAAGAAAATACCTTTGTCTTCAATATTTCTTGTTTTTCTATATTAATAACATTGATATATCAAAGGTACATCAAAGTATTTGTAAGTCTAGCTCATTTTATCATCGATAGTACAACCACATGGATCTCTACTGTGCATGTCCAACATCACATATAATCAAATTTGGAAACAATGTAAAGTACATCTTTCACATATTAAACTTGAAAGAACTTTTGGGAAAAAAATGAAGATTAAACAAATTTTGTTCTATAAAAGCTATGAATGAAGCATTGACTTTAATATTGTTTTAACAAAAACTGTCAGTTTAACTGTTAATCAGTGAATAGTAAATAAAGTGTCTTGATTAGATGCGAGGTCTGTTGAATAAATTAGATGTAGAGTACACTAAACAGCCGTCTTGACACAGTTATCTAAAATATATTCTCACTTGATGGTAGAGCTATTTGTCTAATAACAGATATTAATCTGATACCGCAAGGCATAAGCATACAATGTCGAAGAATTATTCTTATTCTGGTTAAATTCACAAAAATTTCAGAAATCAGGGATTGAATACATCATGGCCCTGTTCAAATTAAAAGGACATATTAGATATTAGAATTGGCTAAACAGATATTCAGAATGTAATTTTGTCATAGAGATCTTCACTACATAGTTGATTCATACAATGTACAGATTCCGGAAGTGCCGCAAAAACATTAAGTCATTTGTTGTTACTGACTGAAGTAGAGAGCTGTAAGAGCTCCACAGGCGGTTTTCATTTGTCTGTAAATTCCTTAAAAATAAAGAGTTGTTATATGAGACTGTGTGACTTTTTTTGACAGTAACTTTATTACTACTATGCTACTACAGTCTCTGTAACATGGATTACAAATATAATGTACAAAACTGGACAGAAAAACAATATCGGGCCAAATACTTGTTCTGGAATAGTATGGCCTATTTAATTGATGTATTTTGATCAGCCATGAAGGCCATAGATCTATTATTATAATTGATTTACTTTTTCCACGAGACATGTATCAGCTTGTTCTTACTGATGTGTTATTATAAAGTCCTGTGAAATACAATGCTACAGTACAAACTGTAAGAATTCTACTCTAAAACTATTTAAGCCAGTCCCTGAAATAATGATTTTGATTGTGTCTGTCAGAATGTCAGGCACTACTGAATAAATTCCTGACATTTATATGTATTAAAAATATCAATAAAAAGACTGAAAAAAAGACAAATGTGGTCCAGACAAGATGACAGGCTCTTTGGGGATTGTGCCCGACAAAGCCATAATTTGTGCCTGACATTGTTTGTGACAAGTCGCTTATTACCAGGTTTGCTGTATAAGCACAACCTGTATTGATCAGATATGGTAGTTATATACATTTCCCATGTACTGAAATATTATTGCAAAGCTGGTAGTGTTCAGAGCAAAAGTTTCCTGATCTTAATCTCATTTGTCAAAGGGGTATTTCAAGGAAATTGTTGCTATGCCTGATGAGTATGTAGTAAATCTGGTTTCTGAAATTATTGTCTGGCTATTATAGTGATCTTTTTTTTTTTTTTTGATCTCCTAACATTCACTTTCAAAGCGATATTCTCATAGTCTTAACAACTCTGTCTTTAGATGAATGATCAGTCAGCTGAAAATGATCTGTGTAGTTTTTGCTGCTCTTGATTTCAGTCAGTAACAACAACTGATTTCACATTTATGAGTCACTTCCATTTAAAGTAGCTAAGTCTCTAACTCAATATCATCCAAAATCTTCAACATTGAAAACACGATTTATTTGTCAAATGAAATCAACATTCATATTGTGATCTTACCGGAAAAAGATGGGCTTTTGATATCCAATATTTAAGACAAAATAAACATTTTACCATTGGTACACGAATCGTGTACCATAATGCGCTTCAGCCCCAGTTGTATCAAGAGACTCGAGGGACGAGGCTAGACACATTGCACCAAATCAAAGGGCGTATGTAGACTGGAATAACCAGACGCTAGAAATTTGCACTCGCTTGAGACTGCTGGCTTATTTCGCCGAACATAACTGATTTTGAAATTGGAGTAAAAACGGAAACCATTGAATGTAAATCAGTTTATATACATTCATATAACAGTATTATACGCGTTGCGACCCCCTTTTGTCAATTTCTATGTCCCAAATGTTAGCGATTTAGCTCCTTTAAGAATAGAAGAAACTTTATTTGAAATGTTTACAGGAGCTAAATCTCTA